ACTTTATATAAATATCGTATATATTATTCCCAAGATTAAAAGAATATTAAAACGTTATTTATATATATTATATAAGTAATATTAATTAACTTTTATAAGGTTATATAAATATAATATTAAAAAGTAGTAAAAACGTTAATTAAATTAAAAAGAAGAATTATATACTTAAAGTAATTATATTACGTATAAAATACGGTTTTTTACTTATTACTTTCTTTAATTTAAATACGATAATAAACGTTTTTAATATCGAGTTTAAAAAAGAATTAAGTTTTATTTATTCGATTTAAAATCTCGGAAATTAATAAAAGAGTATACCGGTTCTTTACGGTAACTTTATTTAACTTATAATAATCGACGTAAAGTCGTAATATACCGTTCTTTTTTAATATAAATAATATAAATACGTCGGTTAACGACTTAAAAGGGTAAATACGTCCGTTTTATAAGTTATCTTTAATATAAAGTCGTAACTTTTATAATTCTCGTTTAAATAACGGGTAAATCGTTTTATATAAAGATTATATATTTAATAAAAGATTTATAATATAATTAGTTTATTTAAACAATAAAATAATTATCGTTTTAAATATACTAAAGATATTCGTAAAGTCCTTTAACTCGACGAGTAATACGACTTTTTTTACGACTCTTTTACTCTTCCGTATCGAAAGGATAGTCCTCGTAAAAACGTTTATTCGAGACTATCGGGAACGTTATAATTATATACACTACCGTCTCGTTTCGTATAATTTTCGTAAACTTTTTTAAAGTTTTAATATAAATCTTTAAGGTTTTATATACTAAACGTTATAATACTTTTATTAAAATATTAATATTTAACGTTTTTAAATTTATAACACTTAATAAAATAAAGTTAATATCCGGACTCTCCGACTTATCGAGTATAATATAAGGACGAATCGTCTTTTTAATCCTTTTATAAAAATCCGTAAAAGTAATAAGGATATTTTAAATCTTAAATATTTAAGTTTTAAAAACGTTTATTAAACACGTTACCGGATCGGGATATCTCGTTTTTTATAGTTAAAGTCGTTTTACGAATTAAATACTTACGATATTTAACTTATAATAGTATTTAAAGTAATAGTCGTTTTTTCCTCGACTTTTTTATAATATATTACTAACGTATTCTTTAATAATTTATATTTTATTTTTATCGTCTTTTTTTCGGACTCGAAAGAGACAACTAAGGGTTTTTTAACTTAACGGGTTTTTTAATAATAATATTTTAAATAAGTACGTTTTTTAAGTAGTTATTTACGTAATATTTTATTTTATTACACTTAAAATAAATAACCGAAGGTTTTTTTTACAACTCTTTTTTATTTTATAAACGAAAAGGTTAATAACCTGTTATATTCCTTCCTTTATCGTTTTTACGATTTTTATAACCGTTCGAACGACGTTAACGTTTTTTTTTTAAAAAAATATATCTTTTTACGGTTTATCGTCGAGTTATTTACGACTTTTTTACGAATTATAAACGTTATTAATAAAACGATTTCTTACTTATTATATAAATAATAATTTAGTTTTTACGTATACGTTTTAAAGGTTAATCTTTTTATAATTAATAACTCCGTTTAACGTATACTTAAATTAGTTATTTAGTTTAAAATAAAAGGTTTTTTTTAAATTTATCGAAAAAAGACGTTATTTACTCTTTTAAAAAACGTAAGTAACTTAAAAACTCGGATAACGGTTAATTAAGTTAAAAACGTACCCTTTTATATAACTTATAACTTTATATCGATAAGTTACTTACGGTAAAAACGAGTATCGTTATTTACTCTTTAAATTTATTTTAAAAACGTTCGAGTCGTCGACGTTTCTCGAAATCTTTAACGTTACGTACGTACTAATTCTACTACCTTTTAAACAGTTTATTTATATAATTATAAACGATAACGACTCGGTTATAAGAATTCGAGAATTTGTACGGTTTAATTTTAAATATTATTTTTAATTTTAAGATTTAAAATTCCCGGTCTTTAAAAGTAAAATAATTCTTATAAACTTTAAACGATAGTTGTATTTTTAAATCTTTCGACTTATAACTCTTTTACGTTTTTTCGTCGACTTTTAAATTATTATTCGGTTTAAAAGAATTTTCTTTAAATAACGGGGTTAAAAAAAAAGAAACGGTAGATTTATTTTTAGTCTTTCGTTTTAATAAAAGACTCGTTAACGTTTTACGTTCTTTAAAACTACGATCTTTTCTTTAAAAACTTATTTTTTTTAAACGTTATTTCTTCGTCGTCTTTTTTTTACTTATTTTTTTATAATAATATTAATTCTACTACTTTTTTCTCCCTTTTTACTACTAGTCGGTACTATTATTACTACTTTAATACTCGAAGATTTAGTCGAGTCTTCGACCGTTAATTATAAGTTAAAGTTTTCGAAGATAAAGTCGACGTTTATATACGAAAGACTCGTAAGGCCTTACGAATACGAACGTATAACTCGACTCGACTCGACGAAGAGTAGGTTTATCGTTTCTCTTTTTTTAACTATCGTAAAAAGGTATCCGTAAAAAAAAATTAAAATTATTATAAGTAGTTATAAAATAAGTCTTTATAATAAATTAGTTAATAAAAAGTATTAGTTTTAAAGACGAAGGTAAGTATATATTATAATAAAGACTAATTCTTACCCTTTCTTCCTTAAAAGGAAGAAGGGAGTCCTTTTATTTAAAAAGAAAGGCTTCTCGTTAATATAGCGTTAACGTATGGTTAGGGACTAGTCACACCGCGCTTTATTAGGTAAGCCTAGTCACTTGATCCGTGGTTTTCGGTTACGAATCGATTATAACACTATTTATATAAACTTAAGGTTAAAGAAAAGGTTTAATATAGTCGTTATATAGTTTAATTAAACGATACGTAACTTAACGTAATACTAGACTCCCGTAAAGGAAGTTTACGTATAATATAAACTATTCGAGAAAAAATACTTTCTTATTTCTTTTTATACTTTTTATCTCGTCTTCCGGTACTAATCTTAAATCTATAAATCCGAGTTAATAAAAACTCGTAATAAACGTATATATCGTATAAAAAAAAGAGTTGTTAAATATTAATAATACATTTTTTTAATCTTAGTTATTTCCTTTATCTTTTAAAGAACCGTTTTAACCATTTTATTAAAAACACCCTTATTTAAATCTAAATTATTAAAAATCTCCGATCTTAAAGCCTCGTAATTAATCTCGATATCGTAAAGGTTACCGTTATTTCGATTACTTAGATTTTTATATGGTAAAGGGAATGTAAATTCTTGTAGACGGTGTTGTATAGTCTCGTTAAGGTTTTTATTAAAGGTGACCGTAATAGGATTTAATAGTTTTATTATAAACTTAAAGTTTATAATATTTCGGTTTAAAGTATTTAATATATATTTTTAATATTTATAGTAACGAAGAATTTAACGTAAAATTTAAAATTTTAATAACGAGTTAATAATATCCGTTATTAAATTTATTTTTATTAATATTATAAAAATAACTTTATATAAAGTCTTTAAGTTACTAGTTATATATATAACTTTAAAAGTCTCGTCGTTTTTTGTTTTTAAAAAAAACTATACTTTATAAAGTTTAATATACGATATATTACTTATAATCGTATATTAAATTCGGTCCGAATTAATACTAGTTATATATTAATATTATTAATTAATAAAAGGTTAAAAATAACTTTTAAAGGTAATAAATAATCGAATTTAATAAAAAAATCTATTATTTATTAAATCTTATTTATATAATTTCTACCTTCGTCGATAACCTTAATTATCTCGATTATATTTATAAAGAAAAGTCCGAACTAATATCGGAGACCTTAAAAGAGTCGGGGTATTATAACTTTAAAAGTAAAAATTCAAAATAACAACAAAGGGTGAAAGAATAATACGTCGAGGGTAGTTAGAGTGAACGGTTGTGTTAAGTGTCGAGTACAAGGGCGGCCAGTGTTAATTATATTAAAGACGTTAAAATGACCGTAAAAATGTGTTTGGCAGATGGAGGCTATAAGCTCCAGAAATAACCACTAAGTAAAATAGGACTAACGAGAGTTATTAAGAACCCGAAAAACAATACAATTTTGCGAATAGCTCTTTAAATAACACTCAATGATATTTCCCAATCAAACACGATTCCAAACGTATTTACCGCTCCCCTTCTGTATTATTCTTGTGTTGTTTGTTCCTCCGGAGGGGCCCACTATTCATGCGGCACGCTGTAAATGAATACACTCTTGGCACGCTCCTCTGTTATTACCAATACCTTGATCACTCTGCGGCGGCGTCGTACTTGGGATGTTGTTTTCGGTGAGCCACATGCAGCGGCTGCCAGCTATGTGCCCGCACGGCAGGTGGATCAGCCGCTCGTTGGACGCCGATTCTTCCGTTTCCTTTTGGCGGATCATGCACACTTCTCCTTCCATGGCTGTGTGTGTGCTACTGTTCGCCGTCTTGCTGTGTATTGTTGTGTCTTTGTCGCGAATAAATGGTAGGACACGCAGACTCGAAAAAGTGTGCGGTTGCAGTCCTTAAAATTATCAAGTCTGCAATTTGCAAGTCGCTCTCTTTCCCGGCCCCCAGCTCTCCGCCGAACAATAAAAATATGGATCGATGTAATTTGAATAGCTCACAACAAACTCCTTTGCTTCGCTGACCAGTCAAAAAACCAAAGATTAGGGTCTGATCCGCAGCTCCCGAGCAATGAACGTGGCAGCAACAGCAACAGATACTCTCCCTAAGAAGTTTCTTTACATTGCTTTGCCTCGATCAGTCCAGTTTGTTTTGGGTTTATTCATTTTTATGTAAGGAAATAAATCCGATCAGTGTATGCTGTAAACCTTAGCTTGTTTCAAATGCCGTGCGTAAAAGTTCGTAGTCCGGCATGTCTTCAATATGAAGCGTGTATGCGTGGCTGAGGAGAATCCTTAATGGGCCCAACGATACCTCCGGAAGATGACGCATGAGTGCATCAACGTCCACATTTTCCACAGCATCATGGAAGATGCGGAGCTGCTTTTCCAGAGGATTCTTGGGTAGCTTTGGAACGTCCGCACCAGTGAGTGAGACTAAAAACTAAAGCCAACGCCCTTAAGTCAGCCCGGCACGTCACCTCGATTTGCCAACCCTTCTTGTTGATCTCGTCCAAAACGGCCGTAAAGCCTTGTAGGTCACGAGCCTGGCCAAAGCCGATGAATACGAGTTTGCCATTCTTGTCAAAAGCGAGATTCCTCTCGTTGATGTCGCCATGGATGACACTACGCCAGTGGATTTTCGAGAGGCCGGTGATTGCTTCGCGTGCGATACGAAGAATCTCCACATGTGAAATCGGTTCCGGTTTGCGAAGACGAGCCTCAAGGGTCGAGGGGAAATAGTCCATGACCATTACGCGATAGAATTGACCACCGTCACTGGTGTCATGTGTGAACAAGGCTCGAGGACGAGGAACAGGAGCTTGTCTCGAGGTAAGAAACTTGATGCGGTAGTACTCCTTTTCCAAGTCAGAAGCACTCTTTATCGCTACCTTTATGGCGACGTGTCTGCCTTCTGCGTCGGTGCCTTGAAAGACGTCCGCACGGCTTCCACCATGGATCCATTTCTGGACACTGTATTCACCGACGGTCTTTCCACGAAGGTCCACGAATGGCTGATACAAGTTAGAGTACGTAGCCAATGTTCAATAAGTAATCTAGCGGACACTCACAGATTCTCTTGTAGTAGGGCTGGTTGTCGCGGGGCAAGCAACTGGCAACAAGGCAGCCATGGTTCCTCTAGTGAAGACGAAGAAATAAAACGAAGTCTTTAGTTGTCTAGGCAATGTCTCCGAGGAGTCTGGAATCCGTATGGAGATATAGAAGGAAAAAGTAAGAGCAGAAAATAGTATACAAAACAAAAAGAAAAAGGCTCGCGTTGCATTTCGCCGGCGACGTAGTATTTAAATCCAGTTTATACCGCATGGCACTACGATACCCGACGATAAGATGGACGAGTTCGTGAAAACCCACACTTGGATGAGTTGTCTCCTTTTTGCCTTCTACCTTTCCTTCACAATCTGGTATCCCCTGTACGTACATGTGATGCTCGCAGGCGAGGGGGAAAAAGTAAACGATAGCGAAGGAAAAGCTTATTTCAAGAGTAGTCGTGCTATTCTGATTGGGCTTTTTTGACACAGCTTTATTGGCCCTTCTAGTTACCAGGACAGAAAATTTGGCGTCACCCTCCGCTTTCACAAAGTTCTCCTCTACAGCCACATAGAATGGCTCCTCTTCGGTCTAGTATCGGCACTACGTAGGGAGACAGTACAACTGTAATAAAAATTAGGATCTTCGTTTAGACTATCTTTAAAAAGGAGAGATATATAATAAAACACCTTAATCTATAAACATGATTTTAATAACGGTTGTCTTACGTTAAACCTATTTACTTACGTTTTTCGTAGTTTTAACGGGATCTTTATAGTACCTTAATAAATAATCCTATAACTTTACCGTAGTAAACTTACCCTTTTATATTCCGTTCGAGAACTTTTTTACTAGATTTTCCTTCTTTTCTTTCTTATTCTCGTTTTTAAGATTAAATATTAACTAACGGAAAAGTTATACCGTTTAGTTCTTTATAACGTAAGAAAACTTAATCTTATATTCCACTCGTCCTTTTCGTATAATTATACTATCGAACGTTTCCGGGTAGTTTATTATTATAACGATAAAAAAGCCTTTTTATATTTTATCTAAACCATTTAAGAACGTTAATAACGAAATACCGTTTATAATCGAGTCTCTTTAACGACGAATCCCCGCCGTATCAACGTCCTTAAAAAGGGCCAAGTAATACGATATATAACTTACAAGGTTTAAAAACTAACCGTCCTTTAAACTAAAGACCGGAACGGTGTATATTAAAAGTTTATATTTACTAACCAACGCCTTTACCGTCGCCGTTTTACCCGTTCTTAAAGGCCCGTGAAAGAGAAATCTACGACGATATAGTATTCCCTTTTCGTTGTAGAAACGCTCGCGCTTGTAAAATTCCGTAGTTTAATTTAAAATGTCTCTTTAACTAAGTGTGGTGGCTAAACTCGTAAACGTCCTTAACGGGCTACTTTAAAGATCCTAAGAGTGAGAGAATACTTTTTCGAGCCTTACGGAGTTTAACGTTAGTATATTTAACCACGATAGTTTCGCGTGGTACTTTAAGAATCGGTAAATAGACTTTAAAAAATCAGCTTAAGTATAAACCGGTAACTTAAACGATCCGTTTACTAAACGATAAGAAGGACGAGATAGTAATAAAACGACGACTTTTATTCTCGTCGTATACGGCGACGTTAAATCGTAATAAATACAACCGGTACTAAAGTAAGGTTAAAAATTAGTATGTCGGACGTGTTTAAAGCGAGGGTGTCGTGTCGGGGAAAGTTAGTGTGTTAATTTCCACGTTTACCGTTCTTAAACGGTATACTTAAGGTTAATTAGTAAATATATTTAAAAGTTTTTAATAAGAGTTGTCTCGAACTACTATAGTATAAATAAATAAATGTCGAAATTTCTAAATAATAAATAATAAAGTCGTAGTAAGAAAGGTACGACGAGTATTCGTTTATTTAGTACTATAAGTATCGACGAGCCTATAAATAACCTAAATTATAAGGATAATAAAGAATAGTATATAAACGGGGAGAAACGTAAGAAAGGGTTAAAGTATATAAAACCAACTATTACTAAACTAAAAAGGGGTAACTAATACGTTTATTTTCGGTTTATAATACGTATATAACTATAACGGAAATAGATTTAAAAGGACGAGTAAAAGAAACTTAAGAAACATATAAATACGTTAAACTTATATATTAACAGGTAGTATAGATTTCCCTCGTAACATCCTCCTCGTTAGTATATATATATATATGTATGTGAAGCTTGTAGTAAGGAAAACTTTAAGATCACACATATAACGTCGCTCCCGATCCTTGTAAAGTTTCTTCTTAACATCCAAGAAGATGATTCGTCTTACGGACGTGTAACCCAGCCTTCTCGTTTTGACGGGTTTTATTACTCTTATTAGATATTTTTAGACTTAATTTCCACAACTCTACGATGATCTTTTATTGTTCTTCTCTATAAATATTGAAAGAGGGATCACGGTGGAATAAATCTTTTTTTTTTAATTCTAACCTGACTTCGTATTTACGGGTTAAGGTCGAACGAGCCGTCCGAGAAAAGAAAATAACGAGAAAAGAAAATAATAGAACAATTCCTATGTTTTTTAAACTCGTACTATTTTCGGTTTATATGCACCTTATTTCGAGTCTTTCATTGTTAAGTCTTTTAGTGTCAAGTCTCTCGCACCCTCGACTCTTAGGCCCGTAAGTTGTTTTAGAAGTCGATCTTGCGGAGTGTAAGTTAGTGAATAGTATATGGTAAGCGCCCTTGCCGAACGTACAAGAACATCTTTGATAGAGTCAAAGTCATAGCCGCTATTATGGGCCCCTTCGACCATCTGATCGTAGTACTTTTGTCGTAGTTTTGGGCTTTTCAGCGTACTGAGAACTTTATCCTCTAATGAAAGAGACCCCTTAGACGGGATAGGTATCGCCCAGCTATACCTCGTAAGAAGTGACGTATCCTTACTGGATAGGCCGGCCCTAACACTAGTATGCTGCTCGTCTGAAAGAAAGTGAAGAAGTCGCCTAACGATAAATAACTCAAAGCCGTTACCAGTAACGGATGTTCTCATCCGATATATCTTAGCTGTTAGGTCGACTATATACGCTTGTCCTTCTATGGTGTATATCTCTCCTTGTTGTGTTGGTCCTGTTGCGGAAACGAAACGGGAGGGTATATAGTCTTTAAATAAATATTTTCGAGTGTGTGTTTTACACGTCCCTTTTGTTTTAGTATAGTACCTAGTAAAAGTATATATAAGAGGCCGAGACTATACAAAACCATCCGAGAAAAATACTTTTTAATTTGTTCTTCCGGTAAAGGCCCGTAAATCTTCCTCTTTATTATAAACGGTAAACGACGAATCTTCCACTTTTACACACCGTGAACTTCCTAAATTTAAGACTGTGTTAAAATTAGATGGTGTACGTTGAACCTCCTCCGTAGGGTATCTATATGGTGTGTAGAAGAGAGTAGGTATAACCTCGTATTAAACGAGTGCCGAGTGCCACGCACAAATGAAATCCTTCAATAACGTGGGGTGAGCCAACTAGTATAACCGTGAGTAGTGTAAGAGTAAAGCCATAGATCCCACCCGTTTTACTACTTGAGAAAAGTTATCCCTACGATCTACGAAGGGAGCGTGGGTTTCGGTGTAATCTAAGATAGAGCGGTATTTATATAGTCGTTTTTATTTATTAACTCACTGTTTAAAGCTAATAACGTTCTTAGAGACGTTTATATCGGAAAGAAATCCACACGTCAAAGCGACCTTAAATTTCAACTAATATATTAAATCTTGAGGACAATTATGGAAAATAAGAGGGGCGTTTACGATTATAAAAAGACACGATAGTACCCGTCGAATATAAGTATCTATTATACGGACCGTTTGTTCACCGGGTTTATAGACTCGAAGTATCTTTGTCGTATACGTTAGTGTTTATTTTATATTTTATTCGTTTCGTTTAAAGAATATAGTACTTATAAGTGAAACGATTTTACTTTATACTATACTTGTTTTTTAATCGTACCCGGAATAGTCTTATAGGTCGAGGTAAGTAAAATAATCTACTAAACAAATAGAATCTATTAATCTTCGTTAAACGAAAAAGGCTTCGGTTAAAAAACCGAACTCGTAAAACTCGTAAAGTTTCCGTCCTTATCGAAAAACTCACAAGTAACGACGCTTAAAGTTTAAAAAGAGAGGTTATCGAGAGAAGGATCTACAAGGGAGCAGGTTAACGCGTAAAGGTGCTTCTCGTAGTAAGATATGAGGCGAGGTACTGACTCTGGCTTTGGTACGGTGGGTCCATTAGGAATATCCTGTATCAAAGTTTGGAGTGTACTTGGTTACTGATGAAAGAAAGACGGTAGTCGACAACGGAGTGAAGGGAAGATGCTCTTACTTATAGAAGACTTTTATCTATTGGTACAGCAGCTGGCCGTTTCGCTTCCACAATGTCGAGATGTCCATGACCAACGGATAGAACTCAAATTAGTAATAAACATCTGTTGGGAACACAATCCGTGGATTCAATACATGGCCTCCGTTACATTGTAGGTTTGAAATACAAGTCGGCTCTCTTCTCCGCTTATCCCCATTTCAATTCACATCCTTTTCTTCAAGCACTCCAATAGTGTAACACTCGCATGGAGAGCCCTTTGCACGCACCCGCTGCTGGTTTCGTGTGAACAGCCCCGCAGTCGAGCCTGCCAGAAAATGTCCGAAATAGAATCCGCTAGAGGGTCGGGCAACATCCTTACGACAGTCTCTAACCGGGCACGCACGGGCCAAGAAATACCGGAGTAGGCGGCAACGCGTCGGAAAGAAAGGGCCATGCTCTCCCACATACCCCCCTGCTGGACGTGGCCCGAGTCATCGTCTAAGTGGCGGATGAAGTCTTCCAGGAAGCTACCGTGGGTAGGAGTGGCCATTCGCTCTGTCCGGTCGAGAACCCGTTCGTAGTAGACCAATGTCAAGAGGCACAACCCAATATCATCTCCGCTTTCTGCCTCACGCAGTCGCCTTTTTATATGCCCATACCGCTCCTTACCCTCGATGGATGCCATCCATGTTTCCATGTACTTGTGGTACACCTGCGTTTTTTCCCACCTGTAAATAAATATCGATAGCACATTGTCTGGCCTCTGAAGAAGCTCCGGCATCGCATTGTATTCCAGCTGGCTGCGGATATATTAGCCCGTGGACGTGGCAGAATGTAAAGAAGACAGGAGTTCATACCAACGAGAAAGGCAAGTAGACACTGTTTCGTGGGGAAGATTGTTGAGTAAGTCCTGGGGCAACATTTCATCGACTTTCTTAACCGCGACAGGCACATCGTTGTAGACGTCGTTCAATTCCGAGGCAAACACTGGATCGACTTTCCCCATGAACCCGACAGGCACGTCGTCGTAGACGCGGTTCAGTTCCGGGTCCGAATCTAGCATCGAGGCCAACGCTTCGCATACAAGAGTCTTCGCAACCTCAGCGTCCGATGCGCCAACGGATAATGGTGCCGTTTCTGTGTCGATTCTCAGAAGGTCGCCAAGATCAGCCAGGTTCTCGTTTGCTGTTCGGCTTGTATCACCTCCCTGTAAAGATCCGTTGGTATCGCCGCGAGCCCTCTTGAGAACTGTCCAAAGCAAATAAATTCGATGTAATTCATTTCGTATGTCGTCTTCCGAGCTCCATGCCGACACGCAGGTGGCTCTTTTGTCGGTGAGCAGCTTCTGAAAAATGGCCATCCATGCTTCATCTGACCGGTCACAAATCGCCTCGACTGACTCTGTAGACACACTTGGCACAGCTTCGAGACAAAGCAGACCAAGAAAGCGACAGAGCGTAACGAACATCTTCGCGACATCGGCGTTGGCGCTCTGAACAGTATTAGCCTTGTCTTATTCGTTTCCAGCAGACGGACAAGGGAAGAAACGTACTAGAATGGCTTGCAACAGGACCATCCACTCCATTGGCACCAGCAAGTGTTTGTGTTCTTTGTCCACCGCTTGCCGGAGGCACCGGGCGACTCCCTTGGAGGCCCTGGACAGGACGCATTCGGCTGCATTCTTCGAAAAAGCAACATTAGACCTCCGTGTCGCCTCGACGACACCGTAAGTGTTAATCTCTTTATTGCTTGGTGCCCAGGCGTACGCGGAGATGTCGCTGTTTGGCACACTCAGTGGAAGGCCGAATTTGAGGAGGCTTTCGATGCGAGACGAAGCAACGGCAACCAAGTAATACCCACGACAGGGAGTCTGCCCAATCACACAGGCAAAATGAGCAAATGGGAAGCTCGCTATCGCTTTCAACCAGGCCGAATCGTCTTGGACCATGACCTTCGTCGGTACTACCTGGCACAGCCAAGCTTCGTCGTCGCCTGGCTGGGTGGTGGGCACATAACTCTGCGAGTGTCAGTGAAATACTCGAGTTGTTCGCGTCCGCCGCATACGGCATACCTCTATCCATTCAAATCTATGCGTGCAAAGTATCCTCCCAGGCGGCACTTCCACGCCGGGGCCGTTCTCCTCAGCAGGCGGCCAGTCTTCATTCGTGACAGAAGACAGCGGAGAAGTTGGTGGTGGTCGGGGGCATTCTCCAAATGTGCCCGTTGAAGTCACAGAGGAGGTAGGAGTGTGGGGTGTCATGATGGAATGAGGAGGCGTCGGGTTAGGTGGAAAGCAATCGGAGGGGACAAATCACCAAGTCAAAGTGCTGGCTGTTAAACAAGGCTCGAAGTTGCAGATGCATGCAGAAAATGTGCAGGTCTGGCGGTGTGCAAACCTCGTATTTGTATTTACGAAGAGCCACTGGAACCAACCCCCCCCCCCCCACGCTTCCAAGGCCAGCGGATGTAAACATCATGAGCCCATATCGAACATCACAAGTCTGTGCCAACTTCCGCCGCGGGTATGGTGGGTACATCTGTCTCGCATGAATGGGGGATAAGCAGAGGCACCGCGGGGGTGTAAGGGACATTCGGTTCCCTCCTGCATGGATCAGCCGCACGTCTCGACACCCGTCCTAAAAGAGGTATCAGGAGACTTACGCTTGAATTCAGGATGAAATTGGCTAGTCCGAATCCGGGCGTCCCTTCGAAGGGACGTTTTCCAAAGAGACGCCCGATTTGGACAATCCAAAAGAATACCACATCCTCAGCCGCTGTACGGAGTACTGCAAACCTGTAATCCGTCTTCCTTTCATCACTGATCCCGACATGACTTCCGAAGAAACTGTTCATCAATTCGAATGCCCATACGCGGGAACCTGTGTCCAAAAGATTCGCGGTCTGGAGGAAATAGTCGAACGATTGCGAAGACAGCTAGCATCGTCATCACCATCTAGGGACGAGTCGCATCTCGTTACTCAACTCGAACACCCAGAAAAACAGACCACAAACGCGAAGTCATCTTTAATAACCAAGCGCGACCAAACCACCTCTGCTATTCTAGCCCGGACGCCTGCTGGCTTGTCAGAGTGGTCTCGCTTAAGCAGCCATACAAAACTCAGCAGCCAAGAAGAAGTTTTAAACGCTTTTAAAACTCTCACTCTTCGTTCGCCCTCTCCTCCACTTGCTATCGCTTACATTCCACGGAGGGAACACACACTCGTCCAAGCATACAGCGGGCTTGAATCATTCCTTCAACAGCGTGCGCAAAACTCGACTCAACTGGCAAACTACAGTTCTTTGCTCTTCCATTGCATTTGTCTTGTGGCTCGCAAAAATGGCATGAGCGTGCAGGACGTCGACAGCTTTGCTACAAGCTGCCTGCCGAATGGGCGCAAGCCGAAATCTTTGCGAGACTTTCGTAAAACCGCCGGTTTGGTGGCTTGCGCGATCGACCGGTTAGAGAGCAAACGAGGGCATCTCTGCTCTCTAATTTTTCTGACTTGTGAGTCTTGAATTAATCGACAAGAAGAAGAAAATTTACTAAGGAATAATAGGTTGCCCTTCGATGAGCACATTGGACGACCTTGCAGATCGGTCCGGTATCATTGATGGTCTTTTCGCTCAAGTTACCAAGAAGACCGAATGGGTACAAGAGGAGGCCGGTGTCTCGGTATCCTTCAACCCGGCATTTTTAATCACATACCTTAGCGAGTGGACGTAAGTTTTTTTATTTTCTTTTACGGCATAACAAACATAAGGCTGACGAACTCACCAGTCTAGACGAGGTCAACAGCGGTCTTGGAACACACCTCAGTCACGAGGAATTTTTACAGAGAAAGCGATACGTGGAGCAAAAACTCGAAGACTGTGAAGAGGAAACAAGAGAGGTAACACCAGGTCGGACGGCCAAAAGACAGAAAGTACAACATTCGGCCAGAGAACGGAGCAGCAGTCTGCCGGACGAGAACCCACCCTCCTCGTCTGCCGCCTCCTCGTCTGCCGCCTCCTCGTCTCTCGAACAAGAAGTTGCCAGCGTCGAGAGCGAAAGACGTCCGTCATCCGCAAGTAGCGACCTATGTGATCCGACGACCACCGAAACGTTGTCAGCACATAGTGATGGCCGTATACATACTCCGCAGAATGGCATGCCATCGCCTCCACCCTCTTCTGCAGCCGGTCTTTCCACACAAGATCACGCAGTAGAAGCAGTCGCGAGTGTAAGTCCATCCTCATGGTGGCAGACAGAGAGTGTGTTCTCAACTTGTTGTATCTAACCTTTTGGCAATACTACCCGTCTAGGGAAACCAGGACAACGTTAACTCCCAAGAAAATACCGTACCTTTTGACGCCGGAATCCCCCCTTTGGACTTTGGGTCGGACAGCCTCCCAGAAAACGTGGACTTTGATATATCAAGAATGGAGGAAGAACATATGTCTTATTTGAAAGCGTTTTTTCCAGGGATATATGAGTGGGAATGAAGACTCGTTCTTTATGTATCTACAGCTCATCGACTTGCCCTATCTGCCTTGCGTTCGTTTATCTGATCTTAGACTGGTTCGTCGGTATAGCGTATACTTTGGAAGCAGATTGGCCCCTTGATAACAGTTACTCGACTGTTCCCAAGCATTTGAACAGGTGTCCCAATACGCCAAGGAAGAGGCTCTTGAGCATCTGCCACGTCCTTATCACGCTGATACACGACCTCAGCTGTATCGTTCTGAGATGGGAAAGTCAGCGCCATCGGAATTAATACAGCAGTGGTTTGGGGTGGTGTGGTAAGCGAGCCGGAATCGAGTACACGTGGTCCTATGAATGCAGGCTTGCCGATTGTTTTGCCCGCGGCAAGGGCGTCCTGTCTGATCTTCTCTGTCTACAGTGACCGTTAGTCCCACGTTTTATAGCATAAAATACCGCCTCATAAGCAGTGCACAATTCTTACATTTTCTGTATGAAATGTCACAAGGATTTCAAGATCTTCCTTCTCCATTTTATACCGAGAAAGCGGTGCCGATCTCTCGATGAGCTCCCTGTCGCGTTGCTTTGCACACAGATCAGACAACATTTTCGTGGCTGGGAAAGTTTTGAACGTGTCCATCGCTTGTTTCGGGGTTTTCAGCGACCTTATTCAGGTCACGGAATCGTTGGGTGTAGAAGAAATGTTTCGTTCTTATGTATCTTTTGTGGACATCTAGGGACTTTCAATGAGATGAGACACATCTCTCCGAAGTTCGAAAAACGTGCCTTTTTTAGAATCCGCGGGGCATGTGCGGAGCTGTCAGCAGAGCTGATCTTGTGAGGCTCGATCGAATAAACGCCTTTTATTGGATAGTTACCTACGTTGGGCCTGGAGAGTTAATAGGCCTACAGGTACAAAATAGACCGTCCACGTGACTAAGCTTCCCGGCTCTGCGCGAAAGAAACCTGCCCGTCTGATAAAAAGACATTGCCAATGTAGTCAAAGAATAACTTTATAATATAATAAAGCCAAAAAAAAAAGCCGTGTATGAAAAGTACTAATATTCTATTCTCTTTCGCCTACCAATTTTTGTGGGATTTCACGAAGAATAGAGGCTGTACGGGTTTGTTTATGGCTGGTGTGCGCAAGAAAATAAAGTAAAGTTCTGTCCCAGATATCGTGGCATCTACAAAAAAAAAAAAAAAAAAAAAAAAAAAATAGAAACTAAAGGCCAAGCAAACAGATTCAAAATATCAAAACCACTCGAATTACTACACAATTTTTGTTCTTCCCACAGTACCGTTTCACTTTGGTTTTTTGTAGACAAACTGCTCGCCAGCACGTCGTCCTCCCAATCTCCAGATTTCGTATGCGTATCTTGCTTGCGCTTCCCAACAGCTTCTTCTTGTTAACAGGAGGGGGACCTAGATACAAGACAGGAGACACAGGACTCACATTGGCGGTCAAAAAGCCGCAGGACAGCGGTCTGGTCGAAGTTCTTGTTAATACTAAGGGTGCCGTAAACCCACTTCGCAGTGAATTGGGCCTTGAACACATCGGTTCGATGTGTTCGAAGAGTTGACCGAGACTCCATCTGGCTGGCTAGCAGGTCATTGTCGGTCGGAGAGAGCTCTGTCCGTAACTTTGAGAGAGAGAAAGAGATCCGGGACATGGGCGGGCGCCCGATATAAATACATCGCAACTTATCTTCAGGGGTGTGCTGACACGATACAAGGGAACTTGATCTTATTTAATCTTTAGATTCCGGTTCAGTCCCTGTATTCTCGAGAGAGCCTAGCATTCTTGAATATAACCTTGTCTGATATTTTGACTTGTTATCATACTGTACAGGCTTTATTTGCGTCGTCTAATATAAGAGCAGTGCCTGGCCACATTTCGGTTAAGCTTGAAAACGAAATAAATAAACTTCCTTTATATTTTCTTGCTCAAGAGCTACCGCCCTCGACGTCTATGACCTCGGGCACTAAGTCAACTATGCTAAAGTCGC